AATCAATCTCATCTGTCTGCCCTGTCTGTCTATCAATCCTATCTGTCTGCCGGTCTGTCTTATCCAATCTATCTGCGCCTGTACGCTCTGCCCTGTCTGCTCGTCTGTCTGTCTATCTGTCTCTAGGCTTCTATCCGCATGTTAGCTAGACAACATTCATGTCATTAACTAGCTATCTATCACAGCTAGCTATTCTACTAACACAGCGCAATACAAAGGCGATGCGGTATTTACAACACACACCCATCGGCAAAAGTGCTGTCCAGGGGAAATAATGGCGACGGGATTACCGTGGCGACACCTATGTGGCCACCGCCCGAACATACGGCCTACGCCCGAAACCACTACGTCGCCACCCTGGCGTCGCCCTTAACAACCACCTACTGGGCCACCCTGGTGCACGCACATCGCCTAATCGACCCAGTAGAGCGTTACATGCTAGCGAGCGCTCGCTGAAGCTGAAACTCTTAGAGTCAGAGAGATTGGCTTCGCCTGAGGTCTGTCTTAGGGCATGCAAAAGCAATGCGCTAGTGTAGTCGTTAGTAGATCTGGGCGTTACTATAGAGGAGGGTGCGAGAGTCAAGCTGCACAGACTACTATACTTGCTATGATAGGGTTGGAGGCGTGTTCCTGGGATGGTGCGCAAACGACACTATACTGTGTGGGCAAAAGGCGTGTCGGTGTGTCCGCACTTTAACAAAGTGGCCAAGAGTAAGATATATGGCAACACTACATGTTATACACTAAACTCGGGAGAGGCCATGAGTGGTTGGACAAAACCTGCCGATACTGTGAAGAAAGAGTTTAAAGTTTGCGGACAGCACACGCACTGGTAGGAGAGAGAGAGAGAGCGAGACGGGGTGTCTCCTCACCACGCTCACGCTTTCCCACGTCCGCCACTTCTGTGTGCCCTGGTGTGGCTGCGAGCCTGCGGTCTTGCGCCGGGCGTCTCTTTGTGTTCCGGGTGTACAGAGTTGCCCAGCTTCTCTGTTATGCGGGGGTCCGTGAAGTACGGTCTGCCCGACGGCCTAGCCCCGGGTTCCTGGCTACCTCCTTTATTTGCGAGGGATGCTATGTGTGGAAGCGATCGACTGTCTACTGTGCAGTGGCCCGCTGCCGCAGACCTGGCCGAATCGTGGCCTCTCACAGATCCTCCCCGACTATCCTGTCCCGACCGGTCTTCCGCCCGGCGCCACCCACTGTGACCTGAGAGGTATACAGTTGCCATCAAAGCATGGGTCCACCACGTCTTCTGCTTGAGCCGAGCGCGCCACGCCTTAACTTTTCCCTCGCGTCCTACTATCTCTCCTGTGACTGACAGTCGCCGTCCACTTTACTCCTCAGACTCCCGGTCACCTGTGCGCTCGACATGCGATGACGATGCCACCCAACCCCTGACCGTCAAGTCAGGAGCCACGATCAGGACCGACGGTGCGATAGAGAAAAGCAATCGCGGAAGGAGAGAGCGGGTCGATGAGAGAGAGACGAGGAGACGTGATGACCGCAGACGCAGGAAGAGAGAGAATCCTTTGCCTCGAGCGAGCAGACGCAGAGAGGAGCGAGGCGACGCGAGAGAAGACAAGAGACGAATGAGAAGAGCAAACAGAAAGAGAGAGAGACGAGCTGGCAGATGAGAGAGAGAGAAGGACAGAGACCGAGAGATGAAAGAGACAACAGAAAGCAGACGATATGAGAGTGGATCGAGAGAGAGAAGTGAGGTACTACACACTAACTGGTTCGAAAGGGAAAAGTAAAACCAAAGAGCAGGCGCCGTAAAGTGCGACACACAATCATACGCACGTGTGCGGCGGGTTCGGCCCCCAAAAAAGAAATTTCTCTACAATTAACCTCCAGGTGCAAGCATGCGATCGACAGAAGCTGCGCTGTTAGTTGCCCATCGCAGACGGGGGGGGGGCCTCGCCGGGGGGCGGCTGGACCAACAGGCGAGCTTCGAACTACGCCATCAGCCAGGCTCTTCTACATCCTCTATGTTTTGTCTCGAGCATTACTTCTCCTCTTCCGCATCGCCGCCGCCTTCTCCTCTGCCTCCCTCCTCCCAAGTCGTTTCCTCCTCCTCCTCCTCCCTTCTTGCCATCCTCTCATCCCCCTCCTCCATCAGCGAGCGCCGTCGATCAACCGAATTCTTATCATCATCATCGTTTTCCATAATCAGAGATGCAGAAGTGTACCGAACAAAACTCCGGCAGGATCGATATTACTACTACGTAGACGATAGCGCAAAGCGCTATATTGCGCACCAGCAGGTGCAAGGCTATCGGCCGGCTCTGGGTCAAACAATTTCTAAATAGATTGAGATGCGTTTGAAGCACAGAAATTCAAAAACTAGCCTTGTTCATTGAACGCCGCCATTGCGCGGCTGCCATTGCCGCCACATTGCGTGCAATGAATAGTACATTTGTTTGGCGTGGACGAGCCGTCTCATGAGCTCAGAGCGTTAAAAGAGCTATCACTGAGCCACCGAACATTCTCTCCACTTGTCGATGCGGGTGCAGTACACCTCCCACCCTACGATTTTCTCGAACGGGTTGAACGATTCTTGAAAATTGATAAATTCGACAACGTGGAAAACGCCGGATAAACCGCGGCTATCTCCAGTTCCCCCGCGCTTCGATCCCGCCGGCAGTATTCTCATCTCGCTGCATAATCATGCTTCGCTAAACCTCGCCGGACGAACAAAAACTCAGGCAATTCATCTAGCGCAACAGATGATCCGTCTCGCAGAGAGCCGACTTCTTTGTATAAATAGAATCTCTCGAATTCAGACGAACTGCCAAGACACTACACATTGTACTATCATTAATATCAAAGTTACTACTACCCTATCACCTCGATATCGTAAACCCATTCTACAATAACTTATGCACAGGGTAACCGAGCACGTCACAGCCCCCCTGAAAGTTGAAACCAAAGCAGCAGGGGTAAATGTGTGGTACACACAACATACTGAGAGTGCGCGGGGGTTCAGCCCAAACATCTCTACATTAACTCAAGTGCAGGCAGCGATCGACGGAAGCTGCGCGTTGCCACGGCGACCGGGGAGCTCTGAACTACGCATCAGCCATGCTTTCTACATTCTCGATTTTTTTCTCGAGCATTTACTTCCTCTTCCGCATCGCTCGCCGCCTTCTCCTCTGCCTCCTCCTCCTCCTCCTCCCTTTCCTCCTCCTCCTCCTCCTTCTCCTCTTCCTCCTCCTCCTCCTCCTCCTCCTTCTTGTCTCCATCCTCATCCCCCTCCTCATCAGCAGCCTGTATCAACGAATTCTTATCATATCCATCGTTATAATCAGAGATGAGAATGGTACCGGACGAACTCCGCAGGATATATTTCTACTTACTGGTAGAATAGCGCAAAGCGCTATAATGCGCACCGCAGGTTCTAAGGGCTATCGGTGGTCTGGGGTCAAACAATTTTTAAATTAGATTGAGATGCGTTCTGAAGCACAGAAATTTCAAAAACTAGCTTGTTCATGAACGCCGCCATTGCGCGCATTGCCGGACAGTGCGCGAATAAATAGTACATTTGTCGGGCGTGGGATGGCGAGCTCAGACAGTAAAAGAGCATCACTAGCCGCGGGACATTTTTCCACTGTCTGCGGGTGGCAGTACACCCCCCCCCTACAGTTTCTCAACGGATTTGAACGATTTGGAAAATTGATAAATTTCGAAAGTGAAAAACGCGGGAAACCGCGGATCCGCGAGAGATTCTCATCTCTGATAATCATCTTCGTTACTTCGCGCGAAAAAACTCAGAAAGTTCTCACTACGATTCGTAGCAAAAGATTCCGTCGCAGAGAGGACTTCTTTTGAGGAATAGAATTCTTCAAATTCAGACGTAACGCAAACGCTACACGTTACTATATTAATATAAAGTTACTAGTTACTACTATTGTAACTAATTTACATATATGACGGTAACGAGACGTAGGATGAATGAGGAAGTATGCGTTATTAAGCAGCAAGCGGGTTTAGTTCCCACACGACATTAAAGCCATAATTACGAGTGGATTCATAATTAATAATTAATTCTCCAGTGTTTTCCCTACTTTCATGATACCTACCCTTATTGCTTGAGTAACAGCAATTGTCTAGAGTAATGATAAAATGTCTTAAACCATTCGTATTCACCAAAACATTGCACCTTTCGAACTAGTTTGGCAAACGATCGTTTGCTGATCGTTTGCTGTAACCCTGGGACTAGAGCCGCTAGGTCGTGGACCAGCTAATAGTGCCACCTATCTACCATAGACATACAATCTCTCTCAAGTGCAGTTGTTTTCAATTTTATCACCGACAATTTAACCACTCTGCCATTCTCGCGACACGATAAAATGCGTTGCTGTTACGATGTGTTCATATCCAATTTTCTATGTTATAACTGCATAAAATCTTAGTGTTTTACAAGTTGATGTAATCAGTGATATACCTGACGTGGGGTGAGACTATATTTCGCTATATTTTATTCGGATTGAGTGTTTCTGAGCAGGAATCTCGTAATTCAGGCTTTAAGCAGCAAGTGGGTTTGTTTTTACCTCTTTTTCTTTCTCCTTTTCTTCATCTTCATCCTCGTCTTCTTTCTCCTTTACTTCATCTTCATCCTCGTCTTCTTTCTCCTTTACTTCCTGATACGACAAGGTTTTTTTTATACGACAAATACTAACATAAACAACAACAACAACAATGGCAACAAAGACAACAAGAAAAACAAGAAACTTACGTATATAATGATGAATGTACAAAAATAAACAAATCATGGTGTTAAGCGGAATTTTTATGCAAACGAGTCGTTTAGCGTATCGTAACTCCTTACCTTCTTTTTTTCCTCGGCTTTCTCTTCCTCCTCTTTTTCGGATCCTTCCTCTTTCGTTTCCTTCTCCTCGTCCTCCTCTTCCTTGTCTTCCTTCTCCTTTCCTTCCTTCTCCTCATCCTCCTCTTCTTTATCTTCCTTCTCCTCATCCTCCTCTTCTTTATCTTCCTTCTCCTTTCCTTCCTTCTCCTCGTCCTCTTCTTCCTCATCCTCATCCTCTTCTTCTTCCTCCTCGGAGCCTGACCCTTCCTCTGCATCCGACCCTTCCTTCACCTTCTTAACCTTCTTCTTCTTCTTCTTCTTTTTCTCCTTCGTCTGTGGATCAGTAACAACAGTGAGCATTCGCGAACACCAACATTGGCAACCTTTGCCGCGTCGCTGCGATCGCATGTCGTGCTAAAAAAACTTAACGAGTTTAACGACAAAATTTAAATCGAAAATACTCGCTTGTGAAGATTACACGAAATTTTAAATTTTTAACAAAAATTGACTTTTTACCGAGCGAACGCGTCGCATTTAAAACCCGTCAACGTCGACGACGTGCGTTTCATTTCGCTATTCCATCGCCGTTACATTTTAAACGATAATTTTAAACGAATAAACAACAAATGCAAATTTCTTCAAAAATAAATTTCTTCGTTTCACCGATCCCTAACGTCACGGTGGCAAGATTCCATCCTTCCACACTAGATGGCGCCGCTGCCCGCGACTCACCTGCGGCGACACCTGGAGGGCGATCGCGGCTTCATATAGTGCAGCCGCGCTCATGCATCCCGTCGCCTTGGCAACGGCGGACGTCTCGAGCTGTTAGGCGCCACCTTGTGGCGATGCAACAGAACGCTGCGCTCCGCGGAGCCGGCATGCAGCGAGCGTTCGTTAGTACACACGGGACCGTGCGGTCGTTAACAGCGAACACTATTAATTAGTACAATTAGGTAACGATAACGGTGATTAGTACGGGAGACCCGACTGGTCACTAGCACATGAGACTGAACGGTTGTCTTCGATACGGGCAACTAATAAATTGTTAGCACAAGAGACTGAGACCTTAAAACATGAGACCGAGCGGTCAAGACACGAGACTGAGTGGTCAAGACTCGAGACTGAGCGGTCAATACGTGAGACTGAGCGGTCAACACAGGAGACTGAACGGTCAACACACGAGACCGAGTGTTCGTCAACATAAAAGAGACCGAGCAATTGTCAATTGCGGGAGAACGACGTGGGCGAGAGAGAGGGAGAGAGAGAGAGAGGGGGGAGCGAGAGAGAGGGGGGGAGCGAGAGAGAGACAGAGAGGGAGATAGAGATAGAGGGTTCATTAGTACAGGGGATGTTGTTAGTTCACCCACGAAGGGCATTCCATTGATCCGTGATTCCATGGACGATGTCACAGGGGAGACCTGCAAGGCAACTCCATGCACGTGAACGGCACAGGCATTCCACTAGAACATCCATGCACACACATGCACGCACGCACGCACGCACGCACACACGTACTCACGTACGCGCGCACGCACGCACACACGTACTCACGTACGCGCGCACGCACGCACACACATGCACGCACGCACGCACGCACGCACACACGTACTCACGTACGCGCGCACGCACGCACATACGCACGCACGCACGCACATACGCACATACGCACGTACGCACACACGCACGAGCGCACACACGTACGCACACACGCGCGCACACACGTATGCACACACGCACGTATGCACGCACGCATACGCATGCACGCACGTACGCACGCACATGACGGTTGGCATAAACTCGCGCGCTGACGCGTGCAAATATCCGCGCGCGGTCGCCGACGCGACGGTGGCAGTGCTGTCACAGGTGCATGCTTCAAGAAAACTGTATTAAACACGGGTGAGTGTTAGTGACGCGTCGTTCGCTCGGGAAACCAGCGCGACGCTGAGACAGTGGCGACACCTGCGATGCTGGCAAAAATCGCCGCAGACGATTTAAATTTTGCGCCGCCCCGACCCCTGAGGGATGTCGAGCTCGCAGCGACCCGACATGACCCGGCATGACCTTGGCAAACTCAAACTTCGACGCCAAAAAAAACAACGTCGGAAATTCGAAACCCTTGTGGTTTAACTATTTTCGGCCACGACCCCGCAATGCAAAAATGTCAACTCGGGGCAAAAGGTCAGTCGGTCAAGGTCACCAGGTCACGTCTCCTGGGTCGGGTGATCCCACGGGGGAAGGTTCGCGCAGGCGCCGCCGCCGTCGTTAGCGGTGGCGCCCCCTGTCCTGCGAATCGTAGAATGGCGTGAGTTAGTGGGAGGCATGCGTGGGGACGCTGGCACGTGTGCGTGGTATGCATTCCGGATACATTCCGGATGCATTCCGGATGCATTCCGGATAGATCCCGAATAGATAGCGTCAATCGGGTTCGCCTACTTCTTCTCCCGCTTCCTCCTCCTTGTCCTTGTCCTCGTCTCCTTCCTCCTCGTCCCCTTCCTTCTTCTCCTTCGCCTCCTTTTCATGCGTACGGGAGAGCGAGACGGGAAGGGGTTACGATCGTAAAAGAAGCATTTCGCGAAAAAACGAGAAAAAAGTCCGAGCCGCGAACCGTAAAACGGAAACGGGAAATCCGCGAACGACTTTTGATCGTCGTTTGACCGAAAAGCACGTTAAAGAATGACGGTTGCACTACTATCGATGATTAACTAAAGGAGGGGAAGGTTCCACATTACAGCTGTCGTTAATCGTCAAGGAGGAGGGGAGGGTTTCACGTTACCTCATCTTCCTCAGCCTCCGCGGTGACATCTTCCTTCTGAAAGACGAGAAAAGAAGCGATCGTTGAGACGAGAAGCTCTTCTTACTGATGAAATTGACGAATAAAAAACATGGATTTCAGCAGAAAAAGTTTTAGCTAATCATTTTTCAGAATTTTTAAGCTCCTCTCCTTCTTAGGGACAGTCCCTTGCACTATGAATGATGTTTGTTATGAGGTCATGTCGCTGAAATTCTCAAACTATCGATCAGACGTCTGGTCTGGATCTGGTTGGATGTCCACAGATAAATCTGACGTGTCAACGTTTAAAATTCACAACCGTTAGATACAAACCAAACAGACGCGATTCAAGTTACTCTCACGTACCTTCACCTTCACCCGCAGATGAACATAATCAATAATTAACCAATAATAATAATAATAATAATAAATAATTACACTAAACCTATACAGCACAACAGCGTAGACATCCTACTACGTAATGTCATCATCTAAGTACCATCTAAAAAAAGAGAGAGAGAGAGAGAGAGAGAGAGAGAGAGAGAGAGAGAGAGAGAGAGAGAGAGAGAGAGAGAGAGAGAGAGAGAGAGAGAGAGAGCGAGAGAATTGGAAGAGATAGACACACAGAGAGAGAGAGAGAGAGAGAGAGAGAGAGAGAGAGAGAGAGAGGGAGGGAGAGAGAGAGAGAGAGAGGAGGGGGGAAGAGATAAAGTGTGTGTGTGCATGACCGAACCTTGAAATGATCTTCAAGTCGACAACGTAAAAAAACAAAAGAGAAACGACGGCTATATATGTAAACGAATAAATCTTTATATGAAAGGTTCGCGACAACGAAATGACAAAAAAATCACTCCTCCAACGATTCATGCCCGAACCCCACCGCAAGAGGGCGCCACTAGCGAGACCTCGCCTCTCCTAGGACCGAGGCTGGGGGCCTAGACACGTGGCGCCCTCTCCAGCGAGCTTCCACCGAGGAGACTGATCATCGTCAGCGCCCATCTCTAAACTAATTACGTTAATTAAATCAACCGATCTGTTATTGATTAACGCGATTAAACGATCCGTGGGTAACCACCGCGGACACGTTCCGACGCAAGCGGGGGTCACGAGTGCCGGCGAGGCTTTGCACTCGATTTTTATTCCAATTTTATATTTAAAAAAAATCTTAATCTGTCAAATAAAAGCACATCGGAGGTGAAGTTATCCTGAGCAGCGGGAACCGGCGATTCCTGAAGTCATTGTTGTCCCATAGCTGCCGTTCCATAATGCCCGCGTCGATACGCTAGAGTTAGCCATGCACCTAGTCCAAACGTAGGTAAGCTACAAACCTGTTAAACTACGCTCAGGTAGCGAAACCATGATCACTCTGCCGTCCGAAACCTATTCTCTCAACCCGCATACTATACCAACCACCCGATCAAACTACGCTCAGCTAGAAAAACCGATTCTGACGCACATACGACTGCCCGCCGCGGCGAAGACAGTGACGCCACCTCACCCCGATGTATTCTTCGTCCTCGAAGAACTGCGGGCAAAAGGGAACCTTGTTGTTGCCGGTCGTCTTGGCGTTCTTCAGCATCGTGTTCCGCGCGTCCTTGTTCTCCGGCGCCGTGATATCGATGTTCTCGTACGGTATACTGTAGCTGTCCAGCGTCAGCAGCACCTTCTGCTGGTGACCTTTGATCTGCGCAAAACAAGAGAACATGTTAGGTGTGTGAAAACAATGGAACACCTAAAGAGAAGGTCTGCGCAAAACAAGAGAAGGTGCTACTAATGCGCCAAACAAGAGAACGTTCGACAGAACGCCTCCTATTAAGACGCGTGAAATAAAAGAACGTTGCACGGACGAAACGCCGAAAACATCGTTCGTGCTGTAGAGTGTGATACAAAGGATGCACGGTGTATTGGAGCCTACCTAGGCGGTTGTACAGCAAGTACATTATAATGAATAAGCTATATATATACTGTACATAACCAAATGAATTATAGGTATACACCTTCTACAACCTTCTACAGTGGATACAACCTATGTACTAACCTAGACGTACAATGAAGTGCAGTGGATATATAACCTGTATAAGCTACTACAGGGAAGAACAGTGGATATATACAACCTATATAACCTACAGGGAAATAAATAATTGATTACCGAAAAAAAATAGTTTTAATTAAAATATAATTTGTAAACATTGATGAAATAACTCTTTATTTTATTTTTGTGTGTAACCTACTACAGGGAAGTACAGTGGATGTAGAACCTTTATAACCTACAGTAGGACAAGGAAGTAGTGAATATACGCCCTGTATAATCTATAACAAGGAAGTAGTATTGTAACATGTAGAGCGTAGACCTGCATGTATAGACCTGCATTGCTATATATACCCTTCAGAGATTTGCCCAGGGTATGAAATTGTAGATATATACCCTGTAGAGTCCAGTTAAAGGGCTAGCAGTGTGGACATATACTATTTAGTGTGTGGACAAGGAGTAGCACATTAACTATATACGCTGTGAAGTGTTGACCGGGGCCAGAACACTGTAGAGTGTAGTTAGTGCTACCACATAGACACATACAACATAGAGATTGGCTCAGAGGTAGAATAGTAGCTACACATCCTATAGAGTATAGAGCAGAAGTAAAACGAGAGCTATACACCCAGGACCCTGCAGAGGGTAGATTAGAGGGTAGAACTGCGCACACGTTCTCTGCACTGCGTTTCGCTCCGCACACACACACCCCAGCGACCTTCACCGTTGGGTGTTTACAGCCTGTCCCACCCTCAGTGCCCATCGTAGCCGACCATGCATCACAACACGTACAATCCCATGATGCGTGTTCCTCCTCAGGTCAGTCGACCTACCACTGCTACTACTGTGTGACTGCTGAGGGATGGAGTGCTTGTACCTGCACTGCAGGAGCAGTCGAGCGTGGGATCACCAGAGATCGCACGATAAGCGTGAGAGAGAAAGAGAGAGAGAGAGATGAGGGAGGGGCGAGAGAGAGAGAGAGGAGGGAGGGGCGAGAGAGAGAGAGAGAGAGACCAAGGAAGAAGGGAGAGGGAAAGGGGAGGCAGAGGGAGAGGGAGGAAGAGGAAGAGGAAGAGAAAGAAGAAGACAAGGAGAGAGAGAGAAAGAGTCAGAAAGAAAGCGCCGAGGGAGAGAACGAGAGAGAGAGAGCGAGATAGAGACGGAGAGAGAGAGAGAGAGAGCCGAGAGAGAGATTGATAAATTAATGGATGGATGGATGGATGGATGGATGGATGGATGGATGGATGGACGGACGGACGGACGGACGGACGGACGGACAGACAGATAGATAGATTAATAGTAAGGAGAGAGGGGAGGGAGTGAAAGAGATGCCTGCTGTACGTGGCTGGACCCCAAATAATTAACCAATAATAATAATAATAATTAACCAATTATAATAATAATTAACCAATAATAATAATAATAATAACAATAATGCAGTGTTTAGATACGTAACGCGTTCGTGCGCTGTTCGTGTGAAAGCATTGCTAGTGCATAGTGTAAGCATGAGCATAAACAAGGGTGAGATAAAGCTTACCCCTAGCTGGCAGACATGTATGCACCCACACCACACACATTTCACAAAAGCACCGTGATTTCTACCAGATTTCCATTACACACCAATTTCACTTAATCCCCAACAACTTCCCATGTTCCATCTAATTTTCAACATTCGCCCAAGTTCCACTTAATTTCCAACAACTTCCCAAGTTCCATTTAATTTCCAACAACTTCCCAAGTTCCATTTAATTTCCAACAACCGCCCAAGTTCCACTTAATTTCCAACAACTGCCCAAGTTCCATTTCATTTCCAACATCCACCCAAGTTCCATCTAAATTCCAACATCCGCCAAAGTTCCATTTCATTTCCAATACCTACCCAACCATCACAAGTTTTATGAACTGCCCAGTTCAGCCGACTAAAACTGAAAAGCAGAAGATATCAGCGGTAAGAAAGCACATGCAACCACAACCCTACACTCAGGGATAAGGAGGAGGGGGAGGAGGAGGGAGGAGAGGGAGGGAACATGCGCGTGGGAGAGTGTTTACCTGTTCGTCAGCCTTCTCCTCCTTCACCTAGCAGTGGCCACCGAGAAAAGCACGAGAGAAAGAGAGAAACACAGTCAGTGGGAGAGGACGGTGAAAATACAACACGCCAGTGAGAGAGAGAGGGGGGAGGGAGAGAGAGAGAGAGAGAGGGAGAGAGGGAGGGAGAAAGGGGGAGAGGGAGGGAGAGGGAAAGAGAGAAACGGTGACACGGAAAGGCTAATGTACGTGAGCGTGCGTTCCCGTGAAAGTGAGAGCAAGCAAGAAAGAGAGAAAGAGAGAAAAGAGAGAGAGAGAGATAGAGAGAGAAGAGAGAGAGAGATAGAGAGAGAAAAGAGAGAGAGAGAGAGAGAGAGAGAGAGAGAGAGAGAAGAGAGAGAAAGGGAGAGAGAGAGGAGAGAGAGAGAGAGAGAGAGAGAGAGAGAGAGAGAGAGAGAGAAAGGGAGAGAGACAGAAAGAAAAACACAGAGAAAGAGAGAGAGAAACGGAATATAGCAAGTTGCCGGGATTCAAACTCACGTCTTTCTATATATATACACTGCACAGCTGTGGCTAACATCCTGTATACTGTACAGCTTGCTTACATTCATAGTAGGAGGGAACCCCAATTACACACACCCTCTTTCTCATGTCTGACATACTTTTATATGAGAGGTTACCTTCTCTAAGGAAGGCACGGCAAGGAAGGAGGCACCATTTCTTGTGTACTGTGCAGCAATTCATTGTTGTGCCCGAGCGAAAGAAGAGAGAGAGAGAGAGCGAGAGAAAGAGGGGAGAGAGAGAGAGAGAGGGAGAGCGAGCGAGAGAAAGAGGGAGAGAGAGAGAGAGAAGAGAGAGAGAAAGAGAGAGATGCGAGCGAGCGAGAGAGAGAGAGAGAAGAGGGGAAGAGAAGAGAGAGAGGGGAGAGAGAGGGAGACAGAGGGGGAAGGAGAGTAAGGAGAGAGAGAGATGGGAGAGAGAGAGAGAGAGAGGGAGAGAGGAAGGTAGAGAGGAAAGAGAGCAAGAGATACAGAGAGAGAAAGAGAGGAGAGAGAGAGCAAGAATACAGAGAGAGAGAGAGGCAATTGATACAGAGAGAGAGGAGAAGCGAAGAGAAATGAGACGAAGAACAGAAAGAAAAGCAGAGAGCGAGGAAGAGAGAGAAGCACAGCAAAAAGGGGGCACCATTTCTTCTGTACTGAGGCAGAAATTTGGTGCTGTTCCTCTCCTACTCACTCACTCTCATGTTCATAGAGTGTGTTTGGTTGGGGAGGAGGAGGTTTTTTCACCACTCACGTAGATTACGTTGGGATTTTTTAGGGTCGATTTGTGCTAGGTGATGTATGTTGCAAAGCGTAGCAGCATCTGTTTCATGCTCTGTATCTTTTTTTATAGCTTGCAATTAGTATTTCTAGCCCAGCGTAGCGCACGGAAAGCGTGGCTCCCTCTATTTAACATTTAGCAAACTTTTTTAAAATTTTGTCTGCCCTAGCAAATTTTCGAGCAATCTTAGGCGAAAAAGAAGGTGGCAAAGGTGTAGGAGACACGAGGTGACAGAAGGAAAAGGCAAACACACGA